TGTGGTCTGTTTATAGCTGCTTTGCTCTCTGGTTTATTGTGTAAGAAAATAGCCATCTGCTATGTATGATTATGAGAGTCAAGCTACTCCTGTTTTATTGCTTTCTGTACTTGGGACAGCCAAGCTTAAAACAATGCCGTAGTGGTAGAATCTAGGACACACTCTGAATAACCTACTGTATGTTATTAGTAGCTGACCTTCTCAAAGGGTTTCAGTGCCGACTGATGAATTGGTGGTGGAATGACAATGACTTAGGGCTTGAAGAGCTGTTGCTTGAACTCAGTACCTCACTCGGCACCTCCTTAGATGAGTCAAGTGGCTCGGTCACAACTATTGCCTCCCGTCTACAGCACACACAGAAATGTGGCAAGCTGAGAATCCCCAAACTGCAAGGCCAAAATGATTGAAGAAAAATGTATATCGTTTCCATTTCCATTAATTTGGAAATATCAAATACGTTTTTGGAATTTCAAATCATTAATCAGCATCGATGACACCTGCAACTTTGCGCCAACATGGGAGAATTTCCATTGCCCATGGCCCCTTCAATACAGTATGCACTGCCGCTATGCATCTGATTCCTTTTAGTGCCGTAAGCCCAAAGGTCAACCCAATAGCTTTGTCTGCTGGAGGACTGAAGCGGCTGACTATGAGAACTCTGCAGGCTTACAGGACAGAACCCAGAAACAAACCTCTGCTGGCAAACAGTCCAAGTTCAGATGAACCAGTTCTAGAATGTTGAGTCCAATTCTGCTCTTAGCAAAGGTTAAAAGATTGTGCTTCTAAGAACTTTCAACAGTCTAGATATGTTTAAATACCCCTCCCCATACCTGTGCCTCCTCTCAAGTCTGTCACAGTTGTATAGACAGCAGCTTGCGCTTCACAGTAGAGTTTCTGCTCTAACATGCACCATCAACATGGAGACCTTGTATTATAGACAGCTGTATTTCTTCTGAAATCATGTCAACCAACAAAACCGACCATAAGTGGACTCCATTCAAATTTAAAGTGATCTCAGAAGGTAATTAGATACACCTGGGCTCAATGTGGAGTGTAACAAAAAAGGAGTTTAATACTTATCAAATCAAGACATTTCAATGTCTTCTTTTAAATTATATAAAACAAATCCCAGATACTTTCAGACTACTAATACTTTCAGAAGGCATTGTACCACTCTGAAAGAGGGAAGAAACAAATCTACTTACAGATAAACACACTGCAGACTGATACAGAAAACCAAGTAAGCAGAATACCTCTGAATATAATTACAGTACAATACATTTCTGCAGTGCTTAATTTGACTGCTTCTGGGTTTGAACTCTAAGCAAGCCCTGAAGGAAATGTGACATTCAGGTCACTAAAACCATCAGGGACATTCCATTACACCAATACTGTATACATACAGTATTCATACATGTACTCCTTCATGGCTTTTCCAGTATTTTCCTTTGTCATTTACTTTTACCTTTATGGCTAATCTTCACTGGTACTCTGTAATAACAGCTATTGGGTAGTACTGTAAGTGTTCAGGGCATTGCCCTCCTCTATCATTCCTCTTAAGTTACTTTTATTTGTACTACCCAAAGACGTGTGTATAAATCTTAGCGTTATTTTTCACCACAAAGATTGTTTATTGTTGCAGGAATGAAATGGCACAAGTCTTTAAATCAACTGAGGGTAAGGGAGACATGCATGCAACATGTAAGACAGCATAAACTGGAATACACCCCACAAAACCCACATCTGTTTTCTACTGTGTTCCATACAGTATATCCACTTTATGGCTTTGTCTGTTTATTTTTCAGACAAAAGTGCTGTGTAAGTGTATGAGTCAAACATTTTGCAATGGCCAGCCTTGTCTGAATGAACACACAATAACAGAGATCTGTATAATACCCAATCTTGTTGTCTTTCAGTGAAGTTTATGCTACAGTTCTGTGCTCTAACTCCAGCACTTAGTTTGGTTTGTGGTGTAGTTTACAGAACTGGTGTCTAAACATTCAGCTTTTAAGGCTTTAATCAATGGCTAAGAAAAATGACTTAAGCCAATAATTTACTCAATAAAATGAGATCTGGATCAAAATGGAAGCCTCCGCAGCTGGTTTACAGTATTATGGTCAAACACTCATTTTCTTGCTATAAAACCTCTGAGTTTATAGCACAAAGAGCATTCATGGCAACATTCTGACTCATGTTAGCATCTAGCAGAAGATTATTTTCTCTTCATCGAATAAAATGGACAATTTTTGACACCAGCAGTTTGCTACTGTGCTTTCATTATTTTATTTACTAAATAAAGCAATGAAGAACCCAGTTGTGTGGAACATGGACAAATATTGTTTCGAGAACAAAAAAGTATGTACTGTACAGGATGAACCTGATGCAGGGATCAGTCCTCTACATTAAGGACGTTGATAACTCCAGGTTGATAAGAACATCTTCCCTTTAACATAAACAAGATTTACTTCACAATAATTTATATTAAAGGTGAATTGCAAACACAGAACACCACAAAACTTAGATTCAAAGACACATCTCTAGACCTCTCAGTTATAGTTCAATGAATTTAGTTACACTTACAGCTGGACTGTAATATCGGAATTACAATGTTTACAGAAAAGATTAATTGTTCTGATTTTATCATCTTTGTAAATGAGCTGTGTTCAATGATGATGCTCCAAAAGAACAGCTGTACTGAGTATTTAAGACTTAGACACTGTGCTTCAACAACTGAGGTAACAAGCTAAAAATGTTGTTAGTCTGAGGTTAAAATTGAAAGGGGTAATTGTGATAACGTAATGTTAATCATACTATTAATTATAATTTTACCTAAACATAAGAATGAGAAAGAACACTGAAAGTAAAAAACACAACATTTTTCTTAGTTTAAATTCATATTTAAATACAGCTGATCAGTACTGTCGGGAACATTCTAGGTAAAGAAGACTCCAAGAAATTTGCAGAACATGAGCAGCAGCTCTTCCTTACAGTTCTGGAATGAGCTCAGAGAAGAGCAACTGGCTACCTCCCTGGAAGTAAGGGAACCCCCTACACTGACAGGCTGAAAGAGCTCAAGCTTTTTAGTTAGTCTTGAACACAGAAAACTTGGAGGGGATCTATTTCAAGCAGTCAGAATCTTCAAGACCATTGGCAAAGCTGAACCCCATATGCTTCTTCATAATCAAGAGTGAAACACGCACCAGAGGACAAAAGTGGAAATGTTTGGGAAGGGCATTTACTGTAAAACTATGAAAAGGAGATGTTTTTTTTATACAAAAGTTTGTAGGAGTCTGGAACAAGGTACCCTACTATACTGTACATACATCTGATGCCCTGGTTTCTTTCAAGAAACAGCTGCATGAGATCCTTGAATCATTTAGCTGAAACCAGCTACCAGTCCTCAAGGCCTCCTCTCTCTTATTTGCAATCTTTGTTTTGTGTATTTACAGTATGTTCTAGTACACCTTATTCTGGGCTCTCCAACAGCTCTCTGGAAAGGTTTTGGCCCAGATTTTCAAAATATGCTGACGCAAACTAATTTTCCAGACTCAGTTCCTTGTTAACATTTATTACCTTACTGCATACTAAATAACTGCACTGAGAGTTCTGAGCCCATTGTCCCAGAGGCTCCTGTACTCTGGAAGCTCACTGTTAACTGGAATGCCGTCTTCTGAGACTATTCATCATTTCAAAGCTACCAGCTGAGCTCATTAGAGTGATATTGGCAAGCTTGCAATGCACCTCGAAGTGCAGACAAAGCATGTTTCCAAGCTAAAAATACCAGCAAAACACCCATCTCTGACCTCAGTTTGCAAACATAATATAAAGTATACAGCATATTTTACAGTTCATCATCAGGCAGGAATTGCAATATACTGTATGTTGTAGAGCAGAGAGTCAAAGAGTTAGTTTGAAAAACACATCCATCCATTTTCTAACCACTTCATCCAATTCAGGGTCGGGTTGACGAGCCTATCCAGGCAAGTGGCAGAGACGGGGTGGGGTACACCCTAGAGGGGTGCCAGTCTATTGCAGGGCACACACAAACACAGATATGCACACACTCACACCGGGGGCAATTTTCCCACAAGCCAATTAACCTACCAGGAATCTCTTTGGACGGCGCGAAACCAAAAGCACCCCAAGAAAACGCATATAAATGTGGGGAGAACAGACATACTCCACGCAAACAGCACCCCAGGTCTCCAGAACGCCAAGGCAGCAAAGCTAACCACTATGCCACTGTGCCACCCCAAAAAACACATCCCTCTTCAGCAAAATAAATAATCAGCCAAAGGATTTAAATCCAGTGTTCTTTAAGAATTTGAAACATGTTGAGTTGAGAGAGTCTGAATGTGCACTATAGAGTAGTTTACTAAAGCACATATGACGAGAGAGCAGTGTTGCTTGAAGTTCAGAGCGTTCCAGAGAAGTTCCAAGGTCTCACAAGACATTTAAAAACAATAAGGGTGGGATTTCTTTACCAGGCTTCGGACACTGGCATATTATCTCCTTTGTTTCACAGTGGGTACCCAGGCTTTCCATAATAGCATTGTGCAATTTTTATCTTTTATTAGAGCTTATTAACTGCAACTTTCAATATTTTTTAGAAATTATATTACATGATAAGATTGATTTTAAAGAATGCTAGACAATCTTATTTCTGTATAGCCCTGTCAGTACCGTGAGTTGTAAGTTAGTGCTGCACCTGACCGATATTGACACAAAAAAAACAATGTACCTTTTTCATAATATTTTTAATTAACTTTGTGTTCACTGGCTTTGTTTAAACACAAGCATGAACATGGTTTAATACAGGACTGGAGACGGTATTTTAAGTACTAATATTGTTGTGAAGTGTTTACAGTGTTATTTCTGAGTTGACATCTTAGTGACGTGTTTTTGGAGAAGCGTGCCACAGATACTAACATGAGTGTCACAAATAAATGAATGAATATACAGTAAATATATTAATGACTGCAATAAATGAATACTCTTACCATACGGTAAAGCCGACACCTGGATAGCGAGGAAGAGAAGAGAGACTGGCGCGGTTACCCCAAGCCTGCGTCTCGCTGTGCGCAGTGATGCCTGCCAGACTCCCGGAGACGGCATGGTGCAGTCCTTCAGCTCTGTTTACTTTCTGAGCAGCGAACGCCTGCTCTGTTATTGTGAGACATGAGTCGATTTCCGAGTTGCTTCGGGTTACAGTCAGCCTCACATGGTGCGCAGTGCCGGACGAAGTTTCCAAAACTCCCTCAAACAGCCCCGAGGATCGACGTCACTTCGCTTGAATGAAGCCTGGCTCTAAAAAAACCCACTTCATTTTAACCCATTCCTCACCTTGTAGCGCAGTCTCGCAAACAAGGCGCATTCTACATAGGAAAATATATTTGGCTCCTCTTAATTGAAGAAACTCGTAAATTGTTATTGAAATCATGTTAAAATGATCAGTTAAATCATCAGACAGATGTGTTCCTGCCTTGCATGATACACCAGACATATGCACAGAAATGTCCTTTGTGAAGGCAATTTCATCGGTGTTCTTCCCTACAGATCAGCACAGTGAAAAGACAGTCATGACAGCTATTACTTTACAGTCCTTTGAAATAGTGAAACAACTTCATGCTGGGCAACTCCAACTGCTCCTGACAGGATTAACTCCATCCTACAGTATGTAGCATACAATTAAACTATTATTTTGGAAGGGTTGTGTACAGTACCTTCACAATACCACACTTTACATTAAAAGCAAAAACAGGTTTAGCATAGGGATTCCTTAAAAGAACTTGTAGTAGGATTACAGTACATGACAGTCTACAGCTTTGTTTTTGCATGGAGAAACAGGTATGGAAGAAGAGTTGAGCAAAATGTTTCACCCCCCAGTACCAGCAATAAGATAAACCTCTCAGGAGTAGAATACTGTGCAGTCAGAATGTGAGTAAGATACAGCCCTTGTTTTTTCTTTACAGTGTGATTACATAGCCACATGTTAGGATAGCATCATTAAAGCACTCCTGGTCTCTGTTTTTTGGAGGGTGGGTGTAAAAAGAGAATGTCTCAAAGCCCCCAAAATTGAATTGTTAACTTTTGCACACAAATAAAACTCTTAGACCTTTTAACGAACTGTAGGGACCCTGTAGAAATGTTTGTTTACTTGAAACACATGTTTTAAGGTTAGCATCACAAATTGTGTTGTACTCTATGAAATCCTGGGCAAGCAATCAATATACTGTACTGATTTTGGCAAAATTATTCTTGCAAATACACTGACCTTATCTGACTGTATCAACAAAACAAAATATTAACTCTGTGTCAGAACCTTTCAGTAAGTTAAAGAAATTCATATGAATCAACCTCAAATACTCAGGTACTCTTGAAAGTAAGAAAATTCAATTTTCAAAGATGTTCAATTTAGAAGCGGGGAACCAGACTGCTACCCCCTTTCATCAAGACCAGGGAAGAAATAACTCACGTCTCCTTGTCTGAAGAAGAATGTGGGAATCAGAGGTGTGCTCTGCTCCCTTTTCTTTCCTTTCATCATTTTTCTAATGTTTGTTCAGCTGGTCTCAGGTTTATTAAATTAAATATTGGGTGGCAGGTCTGCTTTTTCTTTACCTGGTCTTGGACGACCTGTCAAGATGGAAATGAATTTGAGCAATGCTGAGTTCATGCTGCTGGCGTTTGGAACCCATGTCAAGGTGTTTTGTTCTATCGGAAGACAGTGTGGTGCTGGCAACATCATCATCATTGATGGAGCAATGACAGATTGTTCTCTTCTGAAGTCCAACATTGCCCTTAAAAATGTTCAAGGAGAATACCAATAAATCATAGCACAGTGCAGCAAAGTTAAAAACTATAAAGTAAAGCATCATACAAAGAGTGTAAAACAATTACAAAGTACTGTAAACACTTGGTGCATGTTTGGCAAAGCATAGAGAAATCTTTCTTAGACTTTTGTGATAGTTACTGCCTGAAGAAGGGGACAGTACTACCACAACAGGAGCCAATGAGCAATGACTGCCCTGTCCTTTGCTCTATGGATATACAGTAGCCTGAAAAGCTGCAACATGTCTTACCAAGGCTGCCAGTGTACAAAAATATCTGAGCTGGTATCTTTCTGCTCCGTTAGCAGAAAGAACGGCATGTTTTTGCAGAATCAGTAAAGCTACTGAAATGGTTGAAAGGTAAAGCCTATTTCCCTTCTCACATTTTATTTTCTGCAGTGGTATCGTGTTGAATTTAGCAGACAGGCACCTAGAAGGGCCTTGTGGAACTATCCCCCACTTTCCCTCCTGCTCCCCAGTGGCGTGGAATGTTTGACTCACCAGGACGACGTGGCAGGTCCACATGCTCCCAGTCAGTCATCTTTTGTTTGTACAACTACATGTTCAGAAGAAGGAAGTACTGTAGGTCCCAGAACCTTTGACTGCTTTTTTCCAGAACCTCTGCTTGCATACAAGGACTCTGGAGCAAAACATAACACACACAAAAATGAAATTCACAGCTAAGCAAGTTTTTATTCCCTTCAAGTTGTTAGACCTATGGGTCTGGCTCTTACCAGGTTATTTATTAAATGAAACATTACAATAAGAGTAACAAAGTAAAAAGCATCTCACTGTACATCAAAGGAGCAGAAGAACAACATGCTGAGGGCCAAAATTAATATTACAAAAATGAATTGAATATGCAGACAATGAACAAGAGTGGTCTAAAACCAATGTAATACAAACCTTTACTACAGAAAGAAGATACAGTCCTAATTAATTAGGTGATCCATCTCTGTTTGAGGTACGACTTTTAAAATTTCTTTTTAACTCTTTTTTAATTAAATTAATTGAGGAATACTATGACTACTGCATTGCTTTTTGCAATACAATCTTTAAGTGTAAATCTGTAATATCAGTACAAATCAAAAGTCATGTAAAATAATCATAGTGAATAACAGGCAGTGTTGGTGTCACGATCGGCAACCCTCCTCTTAGAGGCGCTCCGACCCTTTCGGATTTCAGTTGATTATGTGCACCTGTTTTATTATTTAAGCCTGGCGCTCCTGCTATTCCTGGCTCAGCATTGGGAGACGAACACCCAGAAGCCCGCCTACCACCGGGTCCAGGAGAGACTCGACAGCATAGGCTTCATCACAGCGTCCTGACCATCTGAGTCTGGGGCTCGAAGCGCCTGGCCTCGTTACCTTGGTTTTATTCCCTGTCCCTGTTTGTATCGTCTTGGATGGATCCCCCGGTTCGGACTTTGCACTGCTCCCTGAATTCCCCCTTTGGACTGTCTGGATCTGTTTGCCCTGGTCACGCCCCCCAGCACCGGATCACCCTCGCCACGCCCCCCTGTCTGTCTACCCATCCTATCCTGCTGTACCTTCCCCTGATGTCCTTCTCCACTTACTTCCGGATTATACCGTCTGCATAGGGTCCTTAACTACACTTCACGGGAGCCTTGAACAGCTCCCCTTACAGTTGGTGATCACTGTAAGTAGCTGGTAAAATTCCATTAGCATCAAGAACTCCGTTAAGCAATAACCCATTTATGTTTTTTTTCTTTTAGAATGGTTTAGCAAAGATGACATCTCCAGAAAGAGATGAGATAAACAGCCAATCTTTAGCTAGCATAGAAAGAATGTTTGGTTGGTAACTGGCTAGCTATCAGCAAAAAAGTCCACTCTGAGTTCCTAGGTGATTGCCAAATCATGTGGAGATGTTTGTTAAAGTGAAACACAGTTGGTTTACTTAGTAATCCCGGGCACAAGTTCATTTAGTATTGGATTTTCTTGGTCAGGATGTTGACCCATGTGTTTTTCATTTGCAATATTGAGTCACTGTTCATGGGACAACAGAACCCCATTGGATAACATGACAAGAGGTTGTGGTTCCAGCCCTGTAATTTCAGTTATGGAAAGAACTTGACAGTCGGGTTAATCTCTAACAGCACCAGTCAGTTTTGTTTTGATTTTTTTGTGAACATGTGAATGTGGATTAGAATGTAAGTTCAAATATGACTTCTTGGGGTACTGTACTATAATACATTTTAGACATCCCCTTTATGGTAACTTTGAAGCAAAGATAGACGCCGGGTTTTTCTTTTCAGAAGATTTACAACAAAACTCAAAAGTGCGACAAAGACACAAATGTATTTCAACACACTACATTTTTCTCACTAAATGTTAAGCAGCCCTCATGTCTTAAGGGATGTATCAACTTGCAGAGCAGACTTGTATTTGCATACGCACCAGCGCACACCACAGTAGATCAGAGGTTATGTGAGGTGACGGAACGGCTCAGGATGGTGAGTGAGTGCAGAAAGGTGGGATGTACTGTACTTTGACAAGTGCCAGGAAGACCACGGCAGCTTACAGATCTGGACAAGATGCCTATTTTTACTCAGCTTTCACCCAGCAGCTCCCCTATGTTTCTTCTTGCCACTGTATTTGAATCCAGCTCCCCAAGTTCAACTCCAGCCATGTTTGTCTCCGTTTTAATATTTTAAGTATTTTCCCACATCTGGTGAGACTCAGATCCATCAAGTGTTTTCCTTCTCCCCCCACACAGGAGACTGAGTCAAAGTGGAAATTTAAAGTTTTCTCTCAAAGACACAATGAATTCTAGGATATTGCCTCATAAATTCATTCTAGAAATCAATTTAGTGTTCTTAGAGAACTTTATTATTTGTTTAAAACTATTCGGTGTTGACAGTTTTTTCCTCATCTCTGTGATTCATACTGTATCTGCTAGACC